CTACCCACAAACACCTCGGGGGTACCTGGAGCCCAGGTAAAGAAGCCTTGACATAGAGAGTCCATCCAAAGCATACAACACTTGGCCCTTAGCAACTCTCCAGGTTATAACGATCACCATACAATATGCTGGAATTCACTCACTCCTAACAATAAGAAGGACTATCTCCCATTTATAAGCATGTTAAGACTTATAAAGCATCAAATAAATGAAAGTTCATCATCATCATCATTGATCATCATTATCATTATTACTCCTTTTAGCTAAAACTCTTTTCCCAACATCTAAGAACAATAGCAAGAAGGTTGGATTGGCCATCAAAAGACCCGGGTGCCATGAATTAGCCGTGAGGCCTGAGGCCTATCACTAACGTCTCTGGATCTCAGGTCCCTCTTCAATAAAATGAGGGAGTTGGGTTAGGTGACATCTGAAGTTTCTTCTAGCACTAAATTTATTTGTTCTCTGATCCTTACAACTTCACAGGACGTCAACTAAAATAAACCATATAGCTGCATACAAACCTTGACAGCTACTAGCCAGTCCTTTGGGGAGGACTCCTGAGTCTATATTGCCAACCCGACCCTTCTCCTGAGCTCCAGACCCCCATTTCCCACCACCTGTAGGACAGTTGGCCTAGATGATCCTATAGGTCCCTGCCAGCTCTAAATCTCTGCTAGTCTCCATACCTGGAGAAGCTGTTGGCCCCTCAAAACCACAATGTCCCCAAACAACCTCCTCCCCTTCTCATCTGAAAACCTTTTCTTCCTGAGTTCTCTATCTCTGCTAAGAGCGCCACCTTTTATTCTCCAGTCATCCATGCTTGCACTTTGTCACTTTTAAAAAATTTTTCTTTCCCCCTTGGCCCCTGTAACTAAATCCTGCTGATATTGCCTTCCCAATCTCTCTCATATTTATTTCTATGCTACCACCAGAGTTCCTTTACCTTTACCTGGACGACAGTTTCCTCCCGGCTCCACTCTCACTTCTCTTTAATCCACCCTACACAATGCTGCCAGATGAATTTACCTAGAGCGAGCACACATTACTGCCCCAAAATGTCTGTTAGTTCTGCATTCCCTACCAGTTAAAGTCCAAAGCCCTCATCCAGACCATCAAGGCCATAAATCTGGCTTGAATAGCCTTATTTGGCAGCCTTATTTTACATTACTACCCTTCATATACTTTATACTATAGTGAAACTAGGCTTTACGCCATCCCTCAAATTTTGTCTTTGAGCTCAAAAGATATGTGAGCTGTGCAAATTCAGAACCATCTCCACCACAAATGTTCATCCAGACTATCTGTGCCCCAGCTGGGGCGCAGCCTTCTGAGATCATGTTGGTCTGATCAGCCACAGTCAGACACACTGCACACTGACCAGCATGGTGATGTCATTTGGGTCCTCTTACAGAATGAAGGGTAACAGACAGACAAACAAGTTTTTCTGGCTCTATGTTTTTGTTCATGCTGTTCTGTCTACCTTTTGTTATTATTGTTATTAAGTCATTTTTCAGTTGTGTCCACCTCTTCATGACCCCATTTTGGGGTTTTCTTGGCAAAGATATTGGAGTGGCTTGTCATTTCCTTCTCCAGCTCATTTACAGATGAGGAAACTGAGGCAAACAAGGTTAAATGACTTGCCCAGGGTCACACAGCTAATAAGTGTCTGAGGTCAAATTTGAACTCAGGTCTTCCTGACTCCATGTCCAGCATCCTATTCACTGCACCACTTAGCTGCCCTTCTGTCTACCTAGTGAGCATTTTATCATCTCTGTTCCTCTTTGCTGTCTCCGACTATTCAAATTCTGCCTATCCTTTGAGGCTCAGCACAAATGCTTCCTCTTCCATGAGGCTTTCCCTGATTTCTCCAGCTGGAAGTGAGTTCTCCCTGCTGACCACAAATACATTTGTTTGTACCTGTCTTAGGCACCTAATATGTTCTATTTAGTTATTATATTTATTTCTGTACAAGACTCCGAGCCTGAACCAGATTGTAAAACTATTTGAGGGCAAGGAGCACACCTTATCATAAGATATAGCATAGTACTATGGAAGGAGCACAGGACTTGGAATCAGGAGAGGTCTGGGTTCAAATCATACCATACTAACTGTTGCTACTATCATCAATCCATCTCTAAGGCTTGTTTTCCTTATCTGTAAAAACAAACACAATAATGCCAGTTACCATCTACCTCACAGGGTTTGCTTAATGATGAAATAAGATAATGTATGTATAGCTTGGTGAGGTCTAAAGCACTATATCAGCGTTGGCTATGGTTATTGTAACTGTTGTCATTGTCACCATCATCTTCATCATCATCATCATCATCATCATCATCTGGGGCAGCTAGATGGCTCAGTGGATAGAGCACTGGCCCTGAAGTCAGGAGCACCTGAGTTCAAATCCGGCCTCAGACCAAACACTTAACACTTACTAGCTGTGTGACCCTGAGTAAGTCACTTAACCCCAATTGCCTAAAAAAAAAAAATCATCATCATCATCATGATTATAGAAGATTCCTGGGGTAATGCACAGAGACCTGAGTTCAAGTTCCACCATTGACACAAGCTGACTGTGTACCATAGGAAAATGATTTTCAGTGCTCCAAGTCACCCACTAAGACTAAAAGACATTGACCTGCACTGGGAGACATCTAGTTTTCTATGCCATTAACATTATAGGTTCAGTCCCTATCATCACCACCATCATCATCATCATTATTTTTATTGTTCATCTTTCTATCCTTCTCAGCATAAGGTTTTGTACATAGTAGGAACATAATGAATGTTTGCTAAGTGCACAGCCTCCAGACTGATCCCTGAAGCGACAGCCACACAAGAGAACTGAAATGAAGAACAGAGCCAAAGATTCAGTGCATTCAGACAGTCTATAAGTCTCAGAGGTTCTGAATCTGGAGTCTATGAACTTTTAAAAACATTTTGTTTGATAACTGCATTTCAATATAATTAGTTTTCTTTGTAATTCTGCATATTCTATTTTGTGCATTTAAAACACGATTCTGGGAATGGATCTATATACGCTTCACCAGACTTTCCAGGAGAACAAGATCATTCAGCATGGAGTGGTAGAAAGAGTCGTGGACAGAAAGTCAGAAGAGATTAAGTCAGAATCTCTTGATTACTGTCCTGGTACTACCACTTACTAAGGTGGGTGAACTTAGGCAGGTTATATCCCTCTCTGCATTTCACATTCTTCCTCTGTAAAATAAGGGTGTTGGACTAGACAATCTCTAACATTTTCTCCACATCTCAGTGGATGCCCAAACAAAACCAGTTGTTTGGTTCTATGACCTGGGTTTGAATCCTGGCTTTGCTATTTACCACCTGTGTTACTCTGGGCAGATCATTTTTCCTGGCTGGGCTTCAATTTCCCTATCTCTTAAATGAGAGGAATAAACTAGTCTCTAACTTTCTTTCCTGCTCTAAATCCTATTAATTTCTCAGCTATGTTCAATGATATTTTTTTCCAGGAACTTAACATAACTCAGCAAAAACACAAGGATGCCAGTTGTGCCCATTACTAATCACCCTTGTCCTACACACTTATGACTGAATTATGCTGCTCCTGTTTATGTTACCAGAGCACTGTCCCTCTCAATTAACTTCCTAGCCAACAAGCTCTAAGAGTTGGCTACCAAGAGATGAAAAACTTTTCCTTTCATTTCTTTGCCATCCTTTCATTTGTGGATCAAAGAACTCACCGGTGTATTACTAATTTGTACAGACACTAAAACCAGGACATTTAATTCTCTAATCTCCAATCCAGTGGAAATACAATCTAGTGGACAGTTAATGATTAATTAGCATTATAATCCGTGACAATTTTGTTACACACACACACACACAGACACACACACACACACATTCACACAATCTTCTTGTACAGGAAATCTTTAGGTTGTTGCCAGGACTAGGGTAGAAAGAATGCCAGACTATTCCTCAATTTTTGGAAGATGTTTATAGAGATGGAAATAGCCATTCTTGAACAGGTGGTCTCAGCCTGAGTAACTGACTTAAAAGTTCACACCTCTAGCAGAGTGATAAATGCTATTCACCGAACCTGGATTTACATACACCTAAATGCAGGGAGCTACCAGAGGAAATTTATAGCAATGCTATCTGTAATCCGAAAGGGATCCCCAAAAGGGAAAGGGATAAGAAGAAGGCAACACAAAACAGAAATTGGGGAAGGCAGCATTTAGGGGCAGTTTGACAACACTAGACCAAGTGATGAGTCCACTAGATAGGAAATTTTCACTTTCTCCTTGTCCTTTCACCAATCAGGCTTCATAAATTATTTCTGCCCTGCACAACATAAGCAGAGTTTTCCCTGTTTGCCTTTAGAGGAGACAAATAGCACACCAGCTGCCTTTTCATTTAGAGAGGAATGCCCATTTCTTATGGCAAGATGAATCTTTGATGGAAAAGGCAAAAAGTAGTTGAGCTAGTCTGAACAAGAAGGAAATAAAACATACTAGGCAATTTTCCTCACAAATAACATATTTATGCCTCCTAAACCACATAATCAAAGAAAGCAATATAGGCAAAGGATTAAGAAGAGGGATGTCTTCCTATCTCCTTATCTGATTAGGTGACTACATCCAATCAAGGGATTTGATTTTAAATTCATGTCAGTGTGTGACAGGAAATCCAGTCAAGTACAAAAAAAAACAACTCATGAACATGTGGAATATTTTTTTAAATTGCCACATGGTGGAATTTGTATTCTTGTTACAGTGAAAATAGACTTTTATTTCATAAGTTTAAAAAACCCATAAAATATTAATTTTTATATTTAATCCATGTCTAAGAATTGGAAGTATCACTGAATTCATATAACTTTAAACCACCTCAAAATGATGGTGTACAACTCCTTAGCCTCTGGGTGTCTCCTTAAATTAAATGGAACTAGAAGTTAAAATGGAGAAGACCAATTTTATTTCTACATCATCCTAAACATATCACTTCAAAACACTCACCTTGGCATCCCTTTGGGCTTCCAATATCTGCAGAAGAGATACTGCCCATCTGCATTGACCAGATGGGGAAGGCCCTCATAAGGGGCATTCTGGGGTGTCCGCCTAGGAGAACTTTCCTCAGGCATTTTGGCAGCCTCTTCAGGACCTTGAAAGAAAAAAAAAAGGCAAGCCTAAATGAAGAGATCTTACCAAAAAGCTTATAAGCAGGGGAAGGGGATCCTTTCTACATAGATTCGAAGTCAGTAGCATTTTAACGAAACCAGTCAAAAAAAAAACGTCACTCCATTTCAAAGATGGGGGGGTGATGTCCCCTCCAACTGCTAAGACAGAGGACACATTTGTTTTTTAAAAATGTTCACTTTATTTAAATTTTCAAAAAAAAAGTCCAAGGGCCTCATTACAGCTTCCCCCCTTTCCCATCTGTGTTTATTTTTAAATCATTTCAAGAAACTTAATCTTAAAGGGTATTTTAGCTGTAATCAAGTAGCAATTATAGGCACCGCTATGGATGCAAGGACCCAGCTGCATCTCAAGATCCATCTCTCTTAAAAAAATCTCTAAAGAACAGCAAAGGGACAAAATAATGAGGTGAACGATACTGTTATTATCATTTCTACCATCCGACACACACACGGGCTAGGATGACAAACCTGTTTCCATCGTGTGAGGTTTTGCATTCCAGAGAGAAGACAGCACCAGGAAATCAAATCCGAGCAAAGAAAAAGCTTTCCCCCATCACTGCTGTCACACGGTAACACCCAACCAAATATTTAGCGCTCCCTCCAGCCCCCCTCCCCCCACCCCACCCCCAAATCATGCCTTTCTGTTTCTTGGAGTGTACGCCTTAGAGCCTGCTCCAAGCTCAGCTCCCTGTGACAGTCAGTCTCTCTCTCTCTCTCTCTCTCTCTCTCTCTCTCTCTCTCTCTCTCTCTCTCTCTCTCTTTCTCTCTCTCCCTCCCTCCCTCCCACCCTCTCCACTTTCTGCTCTCCCTCTCCCTCTCTCCTCGCTTTCCCCTCTCCCTTCCTTTATTCCCCTCCTTGCTCCCCTCTCCTCTTTCCCCACTCTTTCTCTTCTCTCTATCCCTTCTCCTACTACTTGCTCATCTCATCACTTTATCTAAACAAATTCCCTTATTCGAAAAGGGAGGGGAGGAGAAGAGGCACTCAACGGGAGAACTAACCTTCTCTCCAGCCCAAAAGGTGCCTTGTGTACACACACACACACACACACACACACACACACACACACACACACACACACACGGCTTTCTTGCCCCTGGAAGAAAGTTCTCTCTGCAGGTTGCTCTGCAAACTTTACTTCCTTCCTGCCTCTGATACTGGGGGGATAAAAGTGGCTCCTGTAGTTGTCATCCGAAAATTCAAAAAGAAGGGGGGGGGAGGAAGTAGGGCAAAGCCAAGAATTCATCCAGTCCCTTAGCAGTGAGTAGACATGAGAGTGGCTGGAGTCCAGAAGACAAGTTCATGTGGTAGCATACAAGGATACCGGGCTGAACAGGAGAGAGGGCAGGAGGAGAGGGTGGAAAGAATGATATAAAGATACTGCTTGGTTTGAAAGGCAACAAGGACTCCCGGCGTCAGATGCAGCAGGCTGCCACGCTTAGCATGCAGCCAGGGTTTAATGCAATGCAGTCTCAGAGAAGAAGGAGGAGGAGAAGGCGCCCCGTGTTTGGCACTGGCACTGCTGAGCCGCGGAAAGGGGAGTTTACCCGTGGCTGGGCGGCCGGGCGCGCTGCTGCTGGGCTTAGGCTGCGGCTGCTGCCGCTGCTGCTGCCGCCGGGGCCGGGGGCCTCCTCCTCCGCAGGGCAGACGGGCTGGGCTCTGGCAGAGGCAGGGGCAGAGGTAGAGGCAGGGGCGCTCGCGGGCTGGGCTGGGCTCGCCGCTCCTCCAGGCTGCGGCGGCTGCTGCTGCGACGGCGGCTGCTGCTGCTGCTGCGCTCGCTTGCTAGCTCGGGTGCATTGAGGGGAGGCGCTGTCTGCGGCCGCTACTTTATTCTAGGGCGAGGGCAGGGCAGCGCAAGCCGCTCTGCAGCCAGAATCCCAGGCTTGGCCAGCGGACGGAGGAAGCAGGCGCACTAGGGCCCGGCCGGGGGAAGTGGGTGGGGATGAGTCCGAACCTGCAGCAAGCCAGGGCCAGGCTGGGGCGGCTGGCTGCCAGTGAGCCTTCAGGAGCGGGTGGTGAGTGGGGGAAGCTGTGCTCCGGGCGGGCGCAAGGGCGGCCACCCAGCCTCCGGTACCCACGTTCTGTCAGGAGCCAAGCCTGATCAAATCCAGCGCGATCAGGAAACCGGGGCTCTGGCTGCAGCAGCTCCATCCCAGCTCGTGTGCCCGGCTCCTCCGGGGTAAAGCAACGTCCCTGCTGGCGGGGGACAATGCCCAAGTGAGTCACTCGCTAATTAATAGGAGAGGATTCGGTGGTTCTCTTAATTAAGCCTGGACCCTCTTGGTGTCCTAAAACACACATGCATGGAGCTAAAAACATAATTTAATAAGCAGCAGGGCCGACCAATCCCAGGGAGAAAGGGTGGAGGCAGCTCAACCATCACTACAAAGATACAAAGCCTCAGCATCCTTGCATCCTTCCTGGTGCTGAGGGGGACACAGAAAGCACTGGAGAGTGCTTCTTCCCTAACTCCATCCGAACAAGGATTCAGAGAATTCAGGCAAGGTATATGGTCAAGATAGCCAGAGGATTGCTCTTTCCTTGCTAGCAGATGAAAACAAAACAAAACAAAACAAAGTCCTGACATCATAGAGAAGGTGGCCCAATTCTCAATTCCCTCTTGTACTGTATAAGAAGACACTAGACCTGATTTTTAAACCCTTAAAAAATTAAGCTCTGTAAAATCCGGCTCACAGGGCTTTTTTTCTTGGAAGTGCAGTCTTACGGCTAAGTAATGGAAAGAGCCCTGAACGTCAGAGACAGGGTCTGGGCCCAGCTCTGCTTCTGGCTTCATGTGTAACCACAGGCAAGTCCCTTCATCTCTCTGAGCCCTAATTTTCCTCTCCTGTTAAATAAAGGAGTTGATCTAAGTTCCCTCCACCCCCAGTCCTAAGACTACCTAAGAACCCTTCCAGCTACAATATTCTGGGTTTTAAGGTGTTTCACAGCCCTGGCATTCTCTGTTCAACTTTACCATAATATCTTCTAAGGTCCTTTCCAGATTTAGTATCCTATTTTCTAAAGTCCCACCCAGCTTGAAACTACCGCTGACATTGTACATTCTAAGACCTCTTTCACATCTGACAGTCCACGTTATAAAGCCCCTCCTAACATTAACATTCCATGTTCTTGAATCCTTTCCAGTTCTGACATTTCACGTTCTACTGTCCTTTCCGTCCCTGACATTCTATGTTCTGATGTCCCTCATAGTTTTAGACATTCTGTGTTCTAAGGTCCTTTCCAGTCCTATCTTTCTCTGCTCTATGGCTCCTTTCAGATCTGACAATCCATGTTCTTGTCTCTCATCCAATCTAAGGTCCCTTCCAGCTCTGACATTCAATGTTCTAAGGTCCTTCCTAATGCTGATATTTAGGGTTCTCAGCTCTAATATTCTATATTCCAAGTCCCATACAGATCCAACATGCTATGTTCCAAAGCCTCTTCCAACCTTCATGTTCTAAGGTCCTTCATAGTTCTTTGTTCTATATTCTATGACCCTTTTCAGCTCTGACATTCCATGGTTCTTGGGTCTCTTCCAGCCCTGACATTTTATGTTCTAAAGTCTCTTTCTAGCCTTGATATGGTACATTCTAATAACCCTTCTAGCTCTGACAATTTTTAATTAGCAGAATTTTACCTGACACTTTCAAAAGAAAATTCTAATGATCTATCTTAAAGTGGGATCTCAGAAAAGACAGTAATTAAGCACTTGATAAAGTTTTCTAGAGGGATTAAATTTTTAAAATCAAAGTAGACAAGACAATAACATAGTCTGGTAGATAGGGAAAGGAGCTTGAGTATCAAGAGACTGGCTTCCTGGGTTTCCCAACCAGACTCTGTATTAAATTAGGTAAATCATTCTCATGTTTGGTGCTTTTTTTTTTAAGCTATCCATAAAATGAAGGTAAGAAATGTCAGCACCACGAAAGCGCATGCACTGGATTTAGAAGTCTGAGGTTTAGAGTAAATGGAAGCTTCCATGGGCCACAATGGCCTAATTTATAAAATGAAAGGATTAGATTAGATGTTTTTAGGGTCCCTTTTGGCTTTAAATCTATAATCCCATGATCTCATTAGAATAAGGTGAAAGAGAGAATGCTCTCAGAAAAAGAAAAGTGTTGTTATTAAGAGCTTATTATATGTGGGGGCAGGGAAGGCACAAAGAAGTAACTAAATTTGCTAAAACCTCTGCAGTTTGCAAGGTACTCAACAACCCTGGGAAGAGTCTCCATTGTACAAAGAATGAGAATTTAAACTAATTAACATGTGTCAACACAGAATAGCAGGTTTTCCTCTCTAAATTTTCCACGTAATAGCCTCCATTCTCCAGGATTTCCTCTGCTTGTGAAGACAAACACCATTATTTCTTTTTTTTTTCCCTTAGGCAATTGGGGTTAAGTGACTTGCCCAGGGTCACACAGCTAGTATGTGTCAAATGTTTGGTCTGAGGCTGGATTTGAACTCAGGTCCTCCTGGCTTCTGGGCCAGTGTTCTACAAACACCATTATTTCAAGGCAATTGCGTGGTATGATGGTACGAGCCTTGGGACTAGAAGTCAAAAGACTTGAATTCTGGTCCCAGTAATTTGCTCCGTGAACATGAGAACTTAATCACTTGCCTTCGGTGGGCCTCAGTTTCTCCCCCAGTAAAATAAAAAGAATTAGGCTAGATGGTCTCTAAGGTCCCTTCTCATACTAGTGAACTATGAATCTATAATTGCAACTGAAGAGTGTGAGAGTCTCTGGGGCCTAGACAATAGCCAAAGGTACTTTACTGACATTCCCCATGTACCCAAGATGAGAAGAAAGTATGTGGTTCTCTGTACTTATTTGTGAATTATGAATCTTTTATTACCATGGTCCCTGGAGAACTTGCATTGGTGAGTTTAGCCTATTAGAAACAGAAAGCTTTAAGAAACAGAGATAGCATAGAGTAGAGGCCTGAAAGGCAGGAAATAAGCTGTCCAGCTTGGCCACTGATTAACTACATTAACTAGAACAAGTTCCTTCTCCTTGTGGGTATCACTTTCTCTCTTGCTATTCACTTACATTTATATGCAAAGTGCTTTCTTTCTAGTCGCTCTGTGCAGTATCTAGCGTGAGTATTGCTATCCCTGTTGTTGCTCTTTACAGATGAGGAAACTGAGACTCCAAAAGATTAAAGAACTAGTCCATAGTCTGATGCCTAATTATGTGAGGCAGGATTTCTTTTTTTCTTTTCTTTTCCTTTTCTTTCTTTCTTTCTTTCTTTCTTTCTTTCTTTCTTTCTTTCTTTCTTTCTTTCTTTCTTTCTTTCCTTCTTTCTTCTTTCTTTCTTTCTTTCCTTCTTTCCTTCTTTCTTTCTTTCTTTCTTTCTTTCTTTCTTTCTTTCTTTCTTTCTTTCTTTTTTTGGAGGAAATCAGGGTTAACTTACTTGCCCAGGGTCACACAGTTAGTTAAGTGTCTGAGGGCAAATTTGAATTCAGGTCCTCCTGACTCCAGGGCTGGTGCTCTAACCATTGTGCCACCTGTAGTTTCCTGACTCCCGAGTCTAGTGCTCCTTCCACCACACAAGTCTACCTCTCATAACCAAGAGGTTGAGTCCCTAAGGGATATCTTTTCCAGCTCTCACATTCTAGGTTCCAAGGTCCTTTCCAGCTCTCATATTCTGTTTTAATATCCCTTCTAGCTATGATCTGTGTTTTAATACCTCTACCAGTTCTTGCAATCTACCTTTCAAGGTCTTGTCCAGCATTACATTCTTGATTCTAAAGTCTCTCCAAGCTCTGACATTGTCTGTTCAAAGTTCATTTCCAGCTTTGACATTCTCTGTTCTAAGGTCTCCTCCAATTCTGACACTCCATGTTCTCAGGTCCTTCCAGTTCTGACACCGTTCTTAGATCTGTTCAGGACCTGACACTCTGTTATGCAAAGTAAATTTATACCATTGTGTGTGACAACCACGCACATATTGTGAAATAATTTTAAATAATGTAAAATCTATGAAGAGTTGCAGCCTAAATGTTGCCTTCTCTAGATAAATTTGGCATGTCAAAAATGCCAGGTAATTAGCAACTAGGATGAATCACAATAATAGGAATCCTATGTGAGGAGTGGAAAGGCTAATAATTACCCACTAGTGAGAAAGAGATTCTTTCACTGATAAACTTGTTCTATAGTGAACCTAAATCTAAGTTACGGTACATGCATCAACGTGATAGAAAATGTTGTTTAAGTTGGGAGTGAAATGGACCACAACAGGCTCATTGGGTTAGCAGGTAAAATTGTTGGTTCATACTCATACACATCTTCCCGTTTTGTTTTGAGTTAAATAAGAAAAAAAAACCTCTGGGAACAGGGTACTTAAGCATCCAGTTTAGGTCACTTTAGGAGTAATAGAGGCTTATGCCTATGCATACAAATTAAAATAAAAGGCTGGATAATAAGGCCAAAAAAAATTAGTCCCTGTCTTTAGTAGTAATAGCAATGACTCCCATTTCTATAACACTTTAAAGCTTAACAGTGAATTTCC